TTAAATGGTAAATCAATTGCATCACATGTTTCAGTGCAGCTAACTCCCATCAAATATACATTTAGGCACTTTTGAACCTTGCTCATTTTTCATCTTCCACAAAGGAACTATTTAGGAAGAAGGGCAATTTATAGTTTTCTTCAAATCAGCTGTAAATTCAATTCCCCACAACTAGCTCAGATAAGTCAGTAAATAACTGCAGTACTTCCCTGATCACTGTGGTCGGTTTGCACATATCTGCTTTTATAGGAAGTTACCGAATCACTTACATTGGTCATATTTATCAACCTCTTCAGAGACCTTTATTCAAATTCCTTCTTTGTTTTTGCTGGGAACAGGTAGGGTGCTAGTATACGCTAATCAAGAAATCATCAAAGGTCACTGCATATTGTTTGGCGGTTGGTTTATCTGTTTGTTTTTTAACAGACCAGAGAAAATTCATCCCACTCCTAATGAAGTGTCTGCATTTAAGCTTGCTGCAGAGCTCGAAGCAGCCCTCTGCAAGAGAAGGCAGCGGCCAGCGAGGAGCAGCGAGGGATGCAGGCAGGGGAACACTGCCGCCACGCGGGGTGACAGCTCCCTGGCAGCAGTAACCCCGGCCCGAAATCCACTCACACCCCCCGCACTGCTGTGTTTTCCTGAGAAGGAAGCGGTGGGAGGCCTGAAAGGAAGATTTTATAAAGCCTGATGACAAAGACTTCTGGAATCCAAACTGCTATTCGCCTGTGGTACAAAGAGCAACCTCCTTAAAGCTCTGGTGCTGTATCTGTGAAATGAGGACTGTGGTGAAGTGGCTTGAACTCTGAAGACAAAGGTATTTCCTTTAAAAACGTATGCATTTATGCCAGTTTCTTTAAAAAAACCCCATGAAAACTAAACCCAAAACACCTCCCAGAATCTCAGACCTTTCCTAGACAAACAGTAATTCCGAGGTGACAAGTTTACTAAAATGGGAAAAACTTTCAGTGTCCAGCAGGAATCAGCAGAAGTCAGAGCTTAGTCAGCTTTATTCCAGCAATAAAGCAAACTAACAGCCAAGAACCTGTCACTACACCACTTATTACTGTACGGTCCATATTTTCTTACTTCATTTCTTATAATGTATGTAATACCTTATGTCATCTTAGTCATACATAACCCTCATGACATGACCTTAGCAACATATGCAACACTAAATCCAACAGCTCGTGAACAAAAGCAGGTCATTTTAAAAAGCAGATGTCACCTAAATTTATAAGTCATTTATATAGAACTGTATCTTTGACTTTACCTTTAAAATATTACTCTGCTTGTTCGCTAGTTTATTTCAATTAATCATTAAACCAGTTTATCAAACCCAAATAGTTAATTACTACTTGCAAATATTCTAAATCTCTATCAATACAGCATGACTTTAAATATTTAATTGGATCACGTTGGTTCATGTTACATGACATGATAGGTAAGATGATATGGTAACACTATCAAGGTCATATTTCTAATTAATATGTATTGATGCTATTTTTCATAAACAGTTATTTTACCATGCTTAGGCTCAAAATATTTTTCCATGTAGGCAAACCTGTAGTAGTACTGTCTGCCAACACTATGTCTTAATGGACTGAAGGGGGTAAATCAGCAGTCTACAGGTTCCAGGGACAACCGGCAAGTCCAAGGAGAATCAGGGAGGCCACCCTTAAGCTCCTGATGTGCACAAAGGCTGGAATTGACTAAAAATATAATGGAAAATTACTGGAAAAATGTGAAATAGATTTGAAATTGTAACTATGGCACCTGAGAGTGAAGTAGCTCAACTAATGTTTAACAATTCCATCAAAGGATCCTGCTGAGCCCAGAAACAGAAAACATCACTTGGACAGGGAAAACTTCCACCTTCAAATAACTTAGTAAATGTTAGTAACGTATGTGAAAAAGACTATACTCAACATGAAAGCTGCCCAGCCACTGAACAGCAACAGCCATGTTTCTGTAAAGAGGCTTGGCAGGTGGTACTCAGTCCTATTTGAGAAAGGGTGGAAAAAACCCATACAGAAGAAAGTCCACGTCAATTGTCACTCCCATGAATAAGAAGTTCGTGTAAAAGTAGCTACAGAAAATCACAGCAAAGGTCCATTTAAGCCTAGCATTATTTTTCAAATGGTGGCTAAAAGCAAGGCGGGGGGGGGGGGGGGGGAAGAGGAAGAAAAAAGAATAGGGCACATGTAGGTAACATTGCATTTTCGATTCAAAACCTTCCTCATCTGAAAAGGGTTCCTGTATATTTAGCACCCCTCAGTGCCCACCCTGTGAACCTGCCCATTCTCATCTTCAACACATATAATATCCACAACATACTCTGGTAAGTTCACCAACTCAATTATCTGTGAAGAACTACATCTTTTGATCTTACTGAATCAAAACCTCATTAGCCTCACTTGTGGATGAGCTCTCCTGCTGGAAAAATGGGCAGCTGACCCCTACTTGTTCGTCCCTGCCACTCATGATTCTACAGGCCTCATCATATCCTCCTCAGAAATCAGGATGGATTTTATAGTTTCAGCTTTCTTGGCCATTGTCTATATGGAAGGGGGTCTGTGTCCTTGACCATTCTTGCTTTGCTTCTCCTAATCTCGCTATTTTTTTACTATATGCTTTCTGAGCTGGAAGCTGAAGTGGGCGAACCACACAGGGCGTTTGAGGTTAACCATGGATTAACACAGTGGCACAACAAGATTCTCTGGTTTGTTCTTTATGTGTTTCCCAATAATATTCACTGTCTGATTTGCCTTTTTGACTGCTGCTGATTATTGTGGTTACCTTTTCATGGAACCATACAATGTAACTACAAAATACTGCTCATTACTGTGAGACCAGTATTTCATATGGCAAGTTAGGATTCTTTCTATGCTATCTGAATCACTCTCCCTATACTAAATTCATGTGCCATTACATTTAGTAATCACTCAGACTTACAGGGTCCTACTGCAGCTCTTCATAGTAAATCTTATCTTTGCTACCCGTCATCAGCCAACACTAGCACCTTGCTGCTCACTGCCTTTTCTAGGCTGTTCATGGAAATGGTAACAGTTCAGAACCCAGAACTGAACCATGCAGAACTAAAATTCTCCCACTGAAAAGACTGACCACAAGCTCACAGAAAATGCTGTCCTGGGTGAGACTGATCAAGCTTGCCCAGCACTCTGCTTTCAACAATCAGAGATCCCTCTTTGGGAGAGCACACGAGCCTGGCTGCTCTCTGCAGCCCATTCCCCAAACACACCCCAGCAGCCACTTCCCTGACTTGCCTTTTTAGCAGCCCCTCAACAGACTTCCTGTCAGCTTTTCTTATCCCTTGCTGAACCTGCTCACACTGCCTCCACAACTCTCCATCTGAATGTTTACCCACTGAAGTCCTTGCCTATAGCCATCTGAAACTGCCCTCCCAGCCGCCCCAGCAAGCAACCCCCATCCCAGTGCTGCAAGACTGGATGAATAACTTCCACTTTATCTACTGCCTTCATTTCATAAGTCTTGGTCATGCCCCAGCCGTCTCCTCTCTAATGTGAACAATCCTGGCTTTCCAGTCCTTCGTCTTAAGGCAGCTGATCCCTTTGGCCCTTTCAGTTGTCCTTCTATAACCCGCTGTATCCTTCAGATGCAGAGATCAGAAACACACACACTGCCCCAGATGTGGGTACACCAAGTTGGAGCAGCAAAATGGTGCCCTCTGTCGTCTTGACTTAGGTGACAGTGGAATCTCAGTAAACACCACGACTGAAATTTGCTGGACAAGGCCCATACACTCAAAGATAAATAAGCCTGTCTGTCATCTGTACTACAGAAAGCTGAATGCATCAGGGATCATGTATTTCACATAACACGTATAAAGCAATGCCCTCTGAAATATTCCGTGCTTATATGTACACCCTGTGACTACCCAAAATGTACTTTGAGTTTGTGTTGCTTTCAAGGGTAAGAACTTCATCTGTAAACTGTGTGTTTACCATGCAAACCCATGTTCTTTAAATTGTTATTGTTCTTACTTCAAACTCCAGCCCTCAGGATCACTGAATTCTCTTTGTCTAGTACTGTAACCCTCTTCTGTATTGCCAATGCCTCCCAACCCTTCATCACTACCAAATTAAACCACTGAAGTTTTAATTGCTACATCATGATCTTTATTTAAATTTTCATAAGATTGGTCTCAAGACATCTTCAAAGAACTAATTTTATAATCTTTTATTCTCAGATTTGATGGAGCTTCTTTTCAGTACTGCTCACCAGTTTGTCTCTAGTTACTTCCCATCCTCTTTACAACTCAGGTGTAATCCCTATTTTTTCAGCACAATAGTAACTCCCTTTGCAGCAGCTGATCAAAACCTTTAGTGCTGTCTAAGGAAAAAAGTAACTACTCCATTTCCCTTAAAGACAGCAATTACTTTATCAACGACAGCTTTGAGGGCAGGTTAAAAAGCAAAACCACGCACTGCCTTTTAGCCTCTTTTATCGCCCGTTTCCTCCCCATCAATACGCTCACGCAGGCCGCAGGCGCCGCACGCTCACTAACGCCCTGTCAGGACGCAGCCGCTGTCCTGCCGCCGTCCCCCTCCCGTGGCCGCGGCTGCCGCAGCACTCGCCGTTCTCAACCCACCGACGCGGCACCGACACCGCTTCCCAGCAGGTCTCGGCTCTGTGTCGCTCCTGCCGCCGCTCGCCGTGCCTGTCACGGCCAGGCCCTCTCCGCGCTCTACGGGCCGAGCCGCCGCCGCCGCCCTCACCGGCGGCCTGGGGCAGCGCTGCCGCCTGCTGCCCGCTGCCGCTCCGGCCACAGCGCTGCCGCCTCGGGGCGGCCGGTTCCGCTGCTCTTCACCCCCACTCCGCAGCGCGCAGTGCTCGGCAGGGCCCGGGCACGGCGCCCACCCCTCCGCTCCCCTCACGGCCAGACCGACCCACACCGACGCTCCCCCCGCAGGCGGCCCCTGTCCCCGCGGCCCGGCGGGCGGATCCCCCGCGGTACCTACCCCTCGGCGGCGGCTCAGCGCGGGTCAGGCGAGCCAACAGGGAAGGAGAAGCGCGGTGCAGACCGTGCGCGCCCCCTGCTGGGCGGAGGTCGCTCCCGGCTCCCGCTACGTGCGGCGCGGAGCTGAGAGGAGGGGACGCACGGCGACAGACGGCGCTGCCACCGCCCCGGAGCCGCGGTGGGGAGGCGCGGCCTCCTCCGGCCCCGAGAGCTGCTGTTGTGCTCTGGATCTCTTAACCCGGCTGCACCGGGAAATAAACCCTGCAACGGGAGCGAGGGCTGCAGCGGGACCCTCGGCCCCTCCCCTCCTTGGCCGCGTAGGAAACGAAGAGCGAGAGGCAGAAAATGACGGGAGAGGAGAGGAGCAACAGCCCGAATGGAACAAACCGAGGGTCTGGGGATAGAAGAATAAATTTAACAAAAATTGGGTAGTTGACTGTTTCTGTTAAAGGAAATGTCACGAAGTTGTTTAACTACCCCTTGAGGGAAACTATTTTTTATACTGCTGTGTGTGCTACTGCATAGCTGAAAATGCAGTGTGTCCAGCATCAAGGTGCTGTGAGTATAAGTATACAAAAGGGCTGAAGGTATTTGACTTCCCCCAAAATACATTACTGGGGCTTTGGGGTTTGTTGAGTTTTTTTAAATTCTTATTATAATTTTCACTTCCTTCCTTACCCTTTTCTCACAGATGATCCTGCCTTTCAAAGGGAAGAACACTAAGAAGAACGCCAGATCCTTCTGCTATGGAGAGTATCATGGTTTAGGGCCTTTAGTCTCCTTGCAGTAGTAGCCAAGTTAGGCATGTGGCTAATGGCATGCCTACCTTTATCCAGCTACCTTGGGTACTTGCTTTCCTCAGTGTCATCAGTGTAAACCAGCACAACTTCTGATGTAATGACAAAGGTTAACTGGTGCTCTCCTCACACTTAAGGAGCTTCTGAATCAGCACTGACTCAACAGGTCAATAAGGGCATCACATCAGCACCATTCCAGAAAGGAATGACTGGCCCTGATAAGGGGATGATTGTAGGAAATCCTTTTCCACTCACTAGGAATGCCTTTTCCAGACAAATGTCTAGATGGCAACAGCCTGCTCAGCCATTACCCTAACTCCGATACTCACAGAAACATAACTGATAGGTAAATATTTTTTCCTTCTCTAACAGCACCGTTTCTAATTAGCCTTCCCCTTTCTGCTCCAACATTTTCAGTCTGGGGGAAAAAAGCCAAAAAACATCCATGTAAGACATCTCCAAGTTCTCAGTACCTTTTCAAACTGGTTCAGTAGAGTTGTAAATACTACAAAGAACTCTGCAAAGGCAAGAAATTACACTGAAGATTGGGGAAATTTTTTTGCCCTTATAGTTCAAAGTTTCAACAATAGCTTTATTATTCCCAGACAATTAATTTTGAAAGAAGTTATCCAAAATAAATTATTGCAGGTTCTCTTCTCCTATTTTCTCAAATACAGTCATCTTCATTTGGCCTAACCAATAAAACCCAAATGAACTACCTGCAGTGAAACAAATAGACAGTTAAAGAGTATATGTATTTCAATAATTATAGGCAAATACAAAATTAAGCTAGAAAGTCTGACATGATACTGTTAAGGAGCAGTGGCTGATCTCTCTAAGAGATATTTGAGAGAACAGATTTTATTTTCCTTGCTGGAAAAGGACAAAAGAACAGTTGTTTCTGCTCTTAAGGTGCATTGAAGTGTACTAAGTGTGGTGCAGATTGAATGGCAGTTCCAAATGTGGTAACACATCATAGCATAGTATTGTAGAATGGTTTGGGTTGGAAGGGACCTTAAAGATCATCTAATTCCAACCCCTCTGCCACAGGCAGGGACACTTTCCACTAGACCAGGTTGCTTCAAACCCTGTCCAACCTGGCACTGAACACTGCCAGGGATGGGGCATCATCAGCTTCTCTGGACAGCCTGTTCCCATGCCTCACCATCCTTGCACTTAAGAACTTCTTCCTAATATTTAATCTACCCTCTTTGTAGGAGTTCAGTGAGAATAACAGATCAGCATAACAGCCGACAAATTATTGTTTGAATAGACAATCCAGTGCAGCAGTCAGATTTCATAAGAAAATCAAGAACAATCCACATGCATAAACAATCCCAGTGTGGAATCCAAGTACGTCAACTACATCAGGGGTTGCATGTGGCTGGAACTTGATGATCTTAAGGTCCTTTCCAGCCCTAACTATTCTATGATTCTATGATATACACAATCTGTATATACTCTCTTTAACCTCAAGTGTTTCATTCAGAAATACTTGCAAACAGCAATAAAATGAAGCAAGTTGTCATTAAACCCAAACCAAAATAAATTTTTCATTCAGGCATGTTTCTTGTCCTCTTCTTTCTCCATAAGTTCAAGCTTAGCTTCTTCTCCTGCCTGAAGAAGTTCATATTAAATTTATTAGGAGTCTCCCTAATCAGAAAAACAGAAGCTGGGCTAAACAGCACCTGCAAGCACTACACACTGTATTTACATCTTGGACACAATTTCTCACTCATTAACCTGCTTTTGTTGGATGCTGGATTTCTTACTATTTATCATGGATTCAGGCATCTTCATCTCCTAAACAGATTGAAAAATTTAAGTTTAGAATAAGATTGAAAGCTCTCCCAACTACTGTAACAAATTACACTGAGCAAAGCAGCATTCAGTGAAATCCAGCAGAAAGTGTAGGAAATGAACTAGCATGGTTACCTTTCCCGTAATTCTGTTTTAGTCCAAGCTAATCAAGTCCAAGCAATGCTAGCAACAGCTGAATATTAAAGTAATGAATGGTCATCTTCATAATTAAATGTTTACTGCACTTCCACTACAAATAAACTTGGGGAAGTCAAATCTATTCCAAAATTAAAATTGATCTTTTCTTCTGAATCATTTATAGTTTAAAGCTACGAAATAACATGCTGTTCACTGCCTCATTGCTCACTGTAATCAGCATGGGTCTAGAAGATCACACATGTTTCTTCCCTTTTTTCTCTTCAGAAGTTTTCAGTTAGCAGACATTCAAAATCTTTAGATAGCACAAGGTTAAACAAAGCCATTATTAATGCTGGAAATTATTTCTTCAAATAACAAGTATCTAAACATTTTCATCCTTAAAGGCTACACAAAGGATAGCAGAAGTATTTTAGCTACAAACCTGAATTTCATTTAATTAACACTTCTATTTAAAACCAAAATGTTTCTCGGTGTGAATATCACAGATCCCAAATTGGTCTAACATTGCAGCAGATGGAGCAAGCAAGTGAAGCAGGGGGGAAATGCAGAAGCCAGAAATGGATACAACAGGGTAGTACAGAACATATGTAAATTATGCCATAGATATCCTTTATCATACACAGCAAAAACTTAAATCAAGGAGGGAAGGCAAAACAGATTATTAAATCTCTGATGATAATATTTTAAATGTTAAAGGAGGTTTATTTCTGTAAAACTGACCAAAGATGTACTTTTTAGTCAATTCATTCTCTACTGAAATGTTGGAACATGTAAAATCCTTTTTCTCAATAGGACTTCTCTCAGCACATTTGAAAGAATGTTAGAGTAGCAGGCTTATTTATTTTTATTTAATGTATTTAAATACAAATTCTGACATCAACAAACACACATGCTGACAGTTTCTTGGCCTTCTTTGGCTGCCTTTATCATCTGCTCTAATACCATTTTCTTCAAGCAGCTACTGAGCAAAAGGGCCTAAAGAGGATAAACCACAGAACATGCTGATTTCTTCTATTAAAAGATGTACTCGACTCTTCCATTTGTCCTCCATCAGAAAACTGCACTCCCTAATACTGAACTATTACTTCCCTGAGTCAGTTACTTTTACTCTGTGCTTAGCATCCTCACAGCGCACCAGATTTGCTGCAGTTGCTTAAAGCCCAGCCTCAGCATGACTAACCCTCACAGCAATGCTCAGAGTCAGAATAAGAATTTTTATGACTGGCTTTGTAAGGCAAGTTATTCTCTCTAGTTGTCTGTGGCTCCTACCTTAAAGGCTGCTAAATTAAACCAAGGACTAACTAAGGTTAATCAAAAGCATTGAGACCATTTCAACAAATGAAGCAAGCTGGAGTTCACAGGCACTCAGCACTGTCAAAAATCAAAGGCCTGGTAGTTACATGAGATGGCTGCAGCTGTTTGTAGACCATATCAGAGTCACATCTTGCACACCTAATATGAACAGAGCAGTATGCACTCCTCCGATATAGTGGGTACCTAACAAAGGCACCTCAGAGAGGAGTGGTGGTGTTCTTAGTTCCTTAGGCTGTTTGATAAGCCTGTACAACTCGTTGGGATACTGCAGCCCAGGTTAAGTTCTGAATTGCACCCTGAATTGCACCTCACTGTTTACTCTCCAAAAAGCAGCGTCTCAGGTAGGGTATCAAGCACCAAAAGATGAATCGAAGACAAAATATTCTACAACATCGGTGACGAAGGGGGGAACCATCTCTGGTTAAGCTCCAAATCATCCAGTCATGCCATTTTCTGCAGTGGGCTCTTGCATCAAACCCTTGTTTCTTCCACATAGAAGCATATTTCTGGCCTTTAGCTCTTCCTCACACTTCTGAGCAAAGTGGGACACAGGGTTGCTAATCAACATGTCAGTGCATCAAGCACAACCCTAATGAGTTTCACAGAGAATTTATACTGAATTAAGTTGGTTTGGGGTTGTTTTTTCTCTCCAGCAGCAAAGAAACTAGAAAGCTTACTGCTTATGGCTCATGTTCTCATAAAACCTAAGTGTGGAAGGAAAATAACACTTACTAAATAGCTGTGTGAACTACATCATCACCCTGGAATTCAGAAGTCATGTGTGATAAATTAAGCATTTTGATTTTACTTGAAAAATCCTTTCTGCTGCTGGGTTGGTCTCAGAGGCAAGAAAGAGAAGCAGTTTACTTGAATAGCAGGCTATGCACTTCTTATAGAAGCTCTGTACCTAAACTGAGACTGGTGCTGTATTTGATACCACAGAGTCTGGATTATTTGCTAGGCAGCATAACCACAGATGGATGACTTGAATTCCTGGATATCTTTCTCTTTAAAGACCTGCCTGAAAAAACAGTAGGAGGACTGGCACCCTATAAAATCTTATTTAAGAATTATTTATATATTAAAAAAAAATACTTACAATGCCACATATTCACACCCTCCATTAACCTGTGTTAACATGGCATATTTATATTTGAACAGTAAGTATTTTGTGGAAAATGGGAGCCCTTGACCTTAGGTGGGTCTGACCGATTAATGATTTTGAACACTTACTGAGACCAGTATATAAATGACTCCTGTCCACACTTCATCCCAGGCTTGCTGCTGATTGCTAGACATTTCTTTTCAGTGGGAAAAAAAAATTCTCCTCCCCTTACACTAGGAACTCAAATGCTTGAAAGCATCACTGCTGCTGTCACTAGGCTAACCTGCTTGAAAGCATCACTGCTGCTCTCTGGTAGAGATGGATCAGCCACTTCTGAAGTTGCCTTATGGCTGAAAATACATTTTAATCTGATCCTTTCCTAAAAGGACTGGGAACTTACCTGTTTTGTGTACAAAATTATCCACTGCCATGTGCCTGAGTCATTGTACTCAAATCTAAGTTCCAGAGTGTCTTCTTCACCATCCTTTTTAGCACCTTGTAAAACAAAACCAAAACCAGCCAATGGACAGATGAAACTACTAAAAGCAACATTAAGGTGTTCAGCCTTAAATCAGAATTAATCAATTAGGTCCATTTTATATAGCATATAAATAAAGCAGCTGAAATTTGTACCAGCACACTTCTCAGGGAGGGTGCAAGTGGGAGGTAGGACAAGGGGGTCTTTAGAACCCTAAAGATGGCTAAAGCAGTTGTTTTGCTCCCATGCAAAACTCTCTTGACAACTCTACCTTCAACAGGAAAGCAAAGTGGCAGGTAAAGTATGACATGGAATACCACAGAAGGGAAAAATATAGCAGAGTAAGGTTAGATGGTTGCTGCTATAAAGGCAGCTAAGGGAGTATGTTTCAGAACAGGTTTGGAGGGGAATATGGGCAAATGAAAGGGATTTAAAACAGACCACCCCTTCTCCCCAGATCTGCCCTTCCCTGACTGCCTTAGTTTTCATGAAGAAAAAATGAATTCAGATACAGAATCGGTGAAGTACTTACAAGAAAAGTAACCTGCCAGCTTCTTAACCTGTTGATTTTAAAGCTGACCTCTTTGGTCTGGTTAGTGGGCAGTTTTATGCAGCAGTGAATCTCATTATTGCCGACAAAGATGTCAGCTGAGCAGCTTTCCTCTGGATAGTCACAAATGCAAGGATCAATCCATACTCATCCATAGAACTGCATTTGTCAAATCAGTTCCATGAACTGCACCAAAAAGACAGAACGGAAATGATTTGCTGTAAAGGCAAGTGAAATCTAGTGACTTATAAAGGCATATCTTTCAGATTCCTAACACTTTCTCCTGGGAGGACATAGATTCACCACAGTATGTCGGTGCTTGATTCAGAGAATAGCACTCACAGTCCAGACTTAGAAACTTCATTTCTACACACACACACATTGAATATGATGAGCTGAGTCTTTTGGATGCTTATGAGATATGATGATAGGAAGACAAAAAACTAACCAGTAAGAACTATGAGAACAGTAGTCCTGGCACTCTGAATTCCCAGCTGATCTCCTAATCTAGATGACAAACCTTTGCATCTGAGTTCAGCAAATAAAGAATAGCATTCACAGTCAAAAATTTCCTGCTAACCTTCAGGATCCAAGGAATTCTGTTTGGATATTTTAAAATGCTAGCAGAGATGGTAACCTTTCTATTGGTGGCTCAGTACCTAACCAGGAGATGGGAGACCTGGCTCTCTAGCTCAAACCACTCCACAAAACCACGCTCTATTTTTAAAGTCACATCATTGCTTCAGAAACCACCCCTTTGATCTGTTTATGTTATTTTTAAGATACCATTTTACCTTTACTTTGTTTGCCTTTTTTTGTAGAAATCCAAGTTCCTGCATTTGCTCTTCTGTTGGTTTAACCCAATTCCTCTCAACTTCCTGGATTGCCTTAAGAGAGTTTTTTAAAATAGCCGAAGTCAACAAAAATGTATTTCCTTTTGCACACAAACATTTAGAAACAGACACACACACACACACACACACACACACACACACACACAGAGCTTTTTTTAAACAAGGCCTTTGATTTTAGGTCAAGTTCACTCCACACTGTTCTTTCCTCCTGAGTTAACAGTTTCCAAAGCTAGTAAAGCTCAACACACCTGCAGTTCAGAAATCAAATGCTCTCACAGCACGGCAGAATGCCTACATATTACAGATACAGATACATCCATATACACTTAAAAACAGAGGAGACAGATACCTAAATATCCTAAATATGTCTTTTTTATGCAATACTTTTCCCATGCACAAAACATAGATGAGTTAGAATCTCTAGCACATGACTCTGAAGGGTGAAAAGGAACATGATCAACCACAGCTACACCCAGCACTTAGAAAAGCACAACAAAGCAGTGCTAAACAGGAACCACTTACAAACATTTCAAAAAATATTAATATTGGAAAGATAGCTTTCAAAATTACAAAGACCTTTCAGCTTTACCTGCATATATAGCAAATTCAATGAACCTGTACAATCCATCAGCAGTGTGTCAAGAGAAGGATCCATATACCTTTTCCAAGCCAACGAGGGAAAAAAAAAAAGTAATAAAATATGTAGATATGCTTCTAAATATGGCATTGTGATTTTTCAGCTAAATATGATGGGAGCACAACCTGGAAAGATCCCATTACTTACCAGATTAACAAAACAAAAACCAGTTGTGCCTCTGAAGTGTGTACTACGCTTATTCTTTATACACTGTAGCAGAATGGAAATAAACTGAAGTCTGGTGATCCCATCTCTCCACCTTGATTTTGGTGGTACCAAACATAACAGCTGCAGTTTAGAACCAAAATTTTCTTCTTCCTTTTCCAAACAACTCAGGGTTTGTCTACATAAAAGTTGGTAAGACTCTCAGAGCATCCAGTGCCATGCTGCAGTGCTGACATACAAGACCGTACACCACCAGCCAGCTGCAATACCAGCTACTCTAGAATTGCTGCAGTACAGCAACAAAGCAAGTTAAATACTCAGTTATCCAAGTGCTGTGCTGCAACAGCTAGCTTGAGCTGTTTTCTGCAAGACACCTTAGGTAAGTCTACATGACAGAATAAATACAGCAGGCCAGCTGCATTACATTGAGCAGGCAATACACTTCCTGCAGCACAGAAACCACCCCAGGGCTGCCATTTCCTACCTCTGTGATATGCAGCTGCATGAGAGGAGAAGTATCTCCTCATACAGTCACTTTGTCATGCCTTAGAGCTTAGAACATGAGAGGAGAAGTATCTCCTCATACAGTCACTTTGTCATGCCTTAGAACCATACAGTTCTTGTATTAGACTGCTAGGTTTTGCAGTTTGTAAGGGCATATATAAAGAAGCAGAGAAAGCTTTGCAGAGGTCAAGCTCTAGCCCAGTATATCTAAACCAGACAAGTTACAAGCATCAAACAAGTTTCTGTTGTTTGATGTTTGCTGTCACCAAAAGATATGGTCTGTTCTTCCTCTTCTGTTCCCAACCATGGTTGTTGCTCTAGCACTCATTTGATGCAGCCAATCCAACTCACTAAGCATGCAAGAACCT